ATGAGGCACTCACACATTGTTTTTAAATATTACAATACCCCATGATCTGAATCGAAAAATACTCAGTCCATGGATATTACAAGGGTTCTAGTGAGAAGAACAAAGAGTGAGAAGACAATCTTATCTCCAACTGTCAAAGTCAAAGATTTCAATGGGATCAGGATCTCTCTTTGCACCTCCCATATTCTGGCTTCAACCAGGGACCTGCCTTGCACTTAGCGCAGTTTTGGAGCTGCTTTATGTTGTACTGGCTTGTAACAACCTCGTAGTGGCTATTACACCAGATGAGCATAGCTGGAGTGCACAATATTCTGGCCACACCCTTTCCTTCCTATTTATGCTAGGGCAGGGGCGTAGTAGAAACAAAGGAGAAAAGAATTCTGCACTATCTAGGAACATGTTACACCAGGATTATTCTGCAAAGGCCACTTCCAGAGTGGCATAAAGGAGCTGGAGCACAAGAAAGAAGCTGGCTCCCTCTCTACATTTAGAAAGAAGGTGAGCAGTTGTGTGGATAGAGGAGTCAGCTGGATGTTTTCATCTTTAGTCCTTACACTGCTGAGTTAAAAGGATCCAGTTATTTTTGCCTACTGGCATTCTGCTGCACCTGGTGTTCTATTGTCATGCTACTTATGTTCCACTGAAGTCGGCAGACTATTAGAGAACACCTCTGGTACATCAGCAGCACAGCAGGTTCATTCTAGCTGGAACATTCAAGCAGCAGAGGTAAAGGCCTGAAAGAAAGTTCTTTTTGTAAAAAAATGTTATTTATGGGTGTTGTGTAAGGATGCCAGAAATGGCACAGCATTGGAGGTTCTAGTTCAGTGGAGGGCGAGAGTAAAGTGGTTACATATGTTGGCCAGATATACAAAAGTCTATTTTATGTTCTCCCGTTAGAATATTGTTTTCAAGTGTGATTATAATCTGAAAAGTGACTAAAAATGATATCCATATGATTCCATATTTATATCTTTCCATGGTTCCAAATGTGCTCTTTTTGCAAGCAGAAAGAGGAACACTTCAATAGCCAGTCATGCAGCTTTAAATCTGGATCTGAAAGTTCAACTGAGTTCTTGCCAGCTCATGCATTACCACATGTGATAAAAGATTCTGCACTTAGAATCACTGATGCATGAGCCACCACAGAACCAAGCTCACTTTCACAAAGATGTATTGACTCTACAGTATGAACAAAAAGAACACATTTGTTTTGTAAAGTACGTGCAGGTAGCAGATCTGTTGAATTAGCTGTGTCACTTTTACATGGTTGCCTTTTTAACCACTGAAGCACTGTAAGGTATATTAGTTTCTGGTTTGAACAGCAAGAGCTGGTGGGTTGGGGTGTTTAATTGCCAGAGAGGGACACTGAAAACATCTTCTGCAGGTAAGATGTCACTTAAATATCAGCGTGGAATAATTTAAATGCTGCTACTTTAGGGAATCTGATATTCTGGTAATTTGTTTCTCTATTTTGAGAGAAACTGACTAGATCTCTGATTCTGTAAGTGTGCAGAAGTTTATTCCCCTCCCTACCTCTGGCATGACCAAAACTTGCACATGTGAAAATAGCAACAGCACCTCCTCACAGATGGCACAGACAAAACGAACTTGCTTATACTCTTAAAAAATAAAATCTTTTGGGCAGTCAGTTGGACACATGAAGTCTATGATATTTAATCTGAATTTAAGAAAAGCGCTTATCAGTGTTCCTTTAGGTTAGGTCTTGTTATCATGCTGGAAGGGCAGGGAGAGTTCTTCCTTACGTTTCCATGTGTTCAAGTAATTCTTTGAAAGAGTTCAGGGCAAAAAAAAAAAAAAAAAAAAAAAAAAATCTATCCTTTACAAAGCCTAGTGTTGTCTCTCCTGATAGGAAATGTAACTAAATTGATTACAAAGGAACAGGTAATAAAATAGCAATTCCAAAAATCAATGTTGTTTTGTTGTGTAGCCTTTTATCTCCTCTGAGCTTTTCACTCCTTTGTGCTTAGTTATCTCTAGTCTACTCATCTGATCCCTTCACTAGTCTTTGGCCACAGCTTTAGGGAATGGCCTCCTGAAGAATTCTCAGCTTTATCAAATCCTTCCTAAAAGTGCTTTTTGCTGACAGCCTTCAGTTCCTACTGTTATCTAGCCTTGTTCCAGGCAAATTTATTCCTGCCATTTTAGAGCATCTTACAAGGAAAAACGGTATTGCAGTTCCCCTTGCATGCAAGCAGTACAAAACCATATGGAGTTTTTACCTATTTCTGTTCCTGGTGGTATTGTTTTAGTGGTTACAGTTTTATGTCTTGACCCCGTAAGGCTCCGTGAAGCACTGAATCGACATGAAGGAACAGCACCATGATTATCAATTTTGCGGCCAACAAGGGCATTGGTTGGATACAAGAACTTTGCATAGGACACCACCTAAATAAAGACAACGCGTGTTAGTAATTATAGGAGGAGCTGTGAATTACCTCTATATTTAGGCTAACACTTTCCATTCTAAAAAAAAATGCTTGCAACTGTTTTTGAGTAGTCTCCATTGTTTGCAACAGGCCTTGGGAAATTCAACAGGGAGAAAGCCAGGGGCCAGAAAAGTTTTATTTCTTTGTCCCATTAAATTTCATTCAGGTTTGGCACAAATATAAACATTTGAGGAGTCACTATTTCTCTTCCAGCACTTGCATTGTCAGCAAAATTTTGGTAGCATGCCAAATAACTGAACATGAATTTTCTAATCTGAGGCTGGGCCCATATCTACATCAAAGCAGCAGCATCAGTGCACTGCTCTGGGAACCCCAGGAGAAGACAGCTTCTCTGCCAGTGGGGAGAATGAACTGGACAGGGGCCTCCCTACCAGTCTCACCAGACTCAGCATGACCCTAGTGGCCCATCAGCGCCACATAGGGAAGGAGCTCTTCTCCACCTCCCAGGACACCTCTCATGAAAGGACCTCCAAGTGCTTTATAAACAATAATTAAGCTTCAGCACCTCTGGCGGGATGGGGCAGGTCACTTAATGTCTACGCCTCATGGTCATATAGTGACAGAGCAGGGAATAACACTCAGACCCACCAATCCTCAATTTTCTACTCCACCCGCAGCTCCATTCATTAGTATGGTGGACTCTACAAGAAACAAAATATTTCCTTACCTTGCCATCAGCTCCAAGCTCCACTCCTTCCAATCCAAGAGCCATCTCTGAAGAGACTGAACCGCCACCAGAAGGATGTCGCTGTTTCTGCCCTTCCATTTTTAGATCACTGTAAATGAAGATGGATCCTGAAGTGTACTATAAGAAACTGCATTACAAAGTCTAACAGGAAACATGCCATAGCACCGACATGAACACCACTGGAAAAAAAATTCCACCCAGTCTTCCCATTCCCCTTTTCAAGCAAGCATGAATTTTTAAATACCCTACTCAAAATGTAAGAGGTTCACTTAACTAGAGAACAATCTAACAGGACAGAAACTGGTTATTTTTAATTCAGCTCAGTATTATTATGCTTACTATCATTTAAACTGAACCATATGTAATCTTTCTACACACATGTACAACCCTATACTGCACTAACAAATGTACACGTTTTGGGTAGCAAACACAAGCAGCGAACATGTTTTACATTACTAGTTTCCCTACACTATCAGCTTACCTTTCAGTTACACTTTACTGACTGGAGCCCACATTCATAAAGAACACACTGACTAAATAAATAGAGATTTCTAGCAGAACTCTACTTTAGTAACAGCAATTTTGCCACCTACTTCAGTCTAAATAAATAAATAAATAAATAAATAAATAAATAAATAAATAGTTACTGTATTTTGGTCAAACCATCATCATCTGACAAGGAAAAGCTGAAAGAAGTGGTACTCTAGCAGCCAGCTATAGAATCCAACTCTTTCAAGTGACCTTGCTGCTTTCCCATCAAGTGAGAGAAACGTTTCCCATTGCCTATTTTTGTAGAAAGTATGTTTGCATACAATACAATTTCCACCACTAAACATCCGTTTCCTTCTTCCATAAGTTATGCACAGGACACAAGTGACAACACAATTGTTTTAGCAAAGGTGGATTAAGAGTAAATGCAATACGTCCACAGAGCTAGCTCAAAGCTCACAAGAGAGTCCTACATGGATTTTCCTCTAGTTCTCCTCACTTATTATTCCTCATGTGTGAGTATTTGCAATTGTATTGTATATATTTTGAACACATTTCTTACATTTCCAAAATACATTGCATATAATTTGCCATAAATGGATTGTTTTCAGTTCTTGGTAGTAGGCAAAGTCACAGTAGCATTCAGCATTTAATGTTATTTTCAGGGCTTAATACTTTTTTTTTTTTTTTTTAAAAAAAGAGTCAGAAGAGCATTTTAAAGTATTAATTATTATGGTGGAGTTACAAATCCCTGAAAACGAGAGTCAGGAAAGATAGCAGTTGCCTTTACCTCTAGTGGTATATCAGCTCTAAGTGCAAAAATAATTAACAGTCTGACCAAAATATTTTTTAAAAAAAAGCTAATAGTGCACTCAGCACTACCTCAAAACTTCAAAGAGAACCAACTGCAAACAGTGCAATAAGGTGGGCAAGGATGACCAACCCAATGGAGTTATCCAGTTTCTCTTATCAGGACTGGCAAGTTTCCATTCCCTTTAACTTAATAAAGGACTGAAACTTCCCAACTCAAGTTGTTTGGTGTCAGTGATAGCTGGCCAAGGTGGTAGCAAATGCCCTTCTCACATTATATGAAGGAAAAAACCTTTAAAAACCACCCCCCCCCCCAAACAAAAGCACAACTGGTGACAAATACCTATTGCACTCCATCTTTCTCGATTAGATTATTATTTTTTTTGGCCAAGAAAAGTAAACTCAAGACTCCTAGCTCCAATCTTTTACTATTACTATTAGAGTGGTGGCAAAAGGAAGAAGGAGAGGTAGTTTGACTTTTTGTTTTCAATAAAAAAGATTCAAATATTGTGTAAAACCCCTAAAAGTGTAGCATAACTGGTTACCTTAAAAAAAAAAAAAAAAAAAAAGTTTCTATCCTAACACCACAACCTTTATTCATTGTCAGGTTTTTGCATCAAGCAAGATGTCTTGGGCCTTGATATTGCAAACACTTAGGCACTTGCTAATTCTGCACACGAGTAGTCTCATGATAAAAATGGTTTCACATACATGAAGTTAAGCATGGGCATAAGTGTCTCCAGGAACAGGGCCCTATTTCCCTTTTAAATCCCAAAGCATACACCTCATAAAAACATAAGAATGGCCATAGTGGGTCAGACCAATGGTCCATCTAGCCCAGTATCCTGTCTTCACCACTGCCTGGTGACATGCTTCAGAGGGAATGAACAGAACAGGGCAATTTATTGAGTGATCCATCCCGTCATTCAGTCCCAGCTTCTAACAGTCAGAAGTCTAGTAACACCCACAGTATAGGGTTGCGTTCCTGACCATCTTGGCTAATAGCCATTGATGGATCTATTCTCCATGAACCTAATTCTTTTTTGAACCCAGCTATACTTTTTGCCTTCACAACATTCCCTGACAATGAGTTCCACGGGTTGACTGTATGTTGTGTGAAGAAATACTTCCTTCTGTTTGTTTTAAACCTGCTGCCTATTAATTTCATTACGTGACCCTTGTTCGGGTATTACGTGAAGGGGTAAACAACACTTCCTTATTCACTTTCTCCACACGATTCTTGATTTTTTCATAGACCTCAATCTTTTCCCCCATTATTTGTCTCTTTCCCCAGCTGAGTGGTCTCAGTCTTTTTTAATCTTTCCTCATATGGAAGCAGTTCCATATCCCTAATCATTTTGTTGCCCTTCTCTGTACTTTTTTACAGTTCTAATATATCTTTTTTGAGATGGGACAAACAGAACTCCATGTAGTATTAGCGATGTGGGTGTGTCGTGGATCTGTGTAGTGGCATGATGATTGTTTCTGTCTTATCTGTCCCTTTTCTAATGGGTCCTAACATTGTTTGCTTTTTTAACTGCTGCTGCGCACTGAGTGGATGTTTTCAGAGAACTATACATGATGACTCCAAGATCTCTTGAGTGGTAACAGCTAATTTAGACCCAATCGTTTTGTAAGCATAGTTGTGATTGTTTTCCCAATGTGCATTACTTTGGATTTATCAACATTGAATTTCATCTGCCATTTTGTTGCCCAGTCACCCAGTTTTGTGAGATCCCTTTGTAACTCTTTGCAGTCAGCTTTGGACTTAACTATCTTGAATAATTTTTTATCATCTATAAACTTTGCTACCTCACTGTTTACTACTTTTTCGAGATCATTTATGAATATGTTGAACAGCACTGGTCCCTGTATAGATCCTTGGGGGGCTCTGCTAGTTACTTCTCCACTGTGAAAACTGACCGTTTATTCCTAACCTCTGTTTCCTATCTTTTAACCAGTTACTGATCCATGAGAGGACATTCCCCTCTTATCCCATAACTCCTTACTTTGCTTGAGAGCCTTTGGTGAAGGACCTTGTCAAAGGCTGAGAGTCCAAGTACGCTATATCCACTGGATTGTTTATTGACACCCTCAAAGAATTCTAATAGATTGGTGAGGCATGATTTTCCTATACAAAAGCAGTGCTGACTCTTCCCCAACACATCATGTTTATCTGTGTGCCTGATAATTCGGTTCTTTACTATAGTTTCAACCAATCTGCCTGATACTGAAGTTTGGCTCACCAGCCTGTAATTGTTAGGATTGCCTCTTGACCCTTTTAAAAAACACAATTAGTAGTTCTGCAATTTCATATCTGAGTTCCTTCAGAACTCTTGGTGAATACATTCTGGTCCTGGTGACTTATTACTGTTTAATATATCAATTTATTCCAAAACCTCCTCTACTGATACCTCAATCTGGGACAGCTCCTGAGATCTGTCACCTAAAAAGAATGGCTTAAGTGTGGGAATCTCCCTCACATTCTCTGCAGTGAAGACTGACGCAAAGAATTCATTTGGCTTTTCTGCAACAGTCTTGTCTTACTTGAGTGCTCCTTTAGCACCTTGATCATCCAGTGGCCCCAGTGATTGCTTGGTAGGCTTCCTGCTTCTGATGTACTGAAAATTTTTGCTGTTACTTTGTGTGTCTTTCACTAGTTGCTCTTCAAATTCTTTTTGGTTTGCCTAATTATACTTTTACACTTGACTTCTATGCATGGGCTTTTGGCTGATGAATGGGGGGAGAGGGGGAGTTTACTGACTCTCTATGGTCTGGTTGAGTACTTTAATTGACATTGATTCAATCAATTTGGTTTTTATATTTTATTTTACTACTCAATGAGTGCATTGCTATTTTGTGCATTCCTTAAGTCTGATGAGCACATTTAAAATATGCATTTTCTTTGTTTCAGGGTATACTAAAATGGGCTATGGTATACTACAGTTACACTCACTTATGAGGCTACGTCATTTCATAAATTAGGCTGTTATATATGGTAACAGACTGGACACTTGAGAGCAGTGCAGATATGTCAAGTTACAAACATAGACTCACCTGATTCGTACGCTCTCCCCATACGGCAGGATAGAAAAAGCCACACACAAGGTTCGTTTAGCACAGATTAATACTATCCTGAAACCAGACAAGAAAAGATTAAAGTGAGAACTGAAACAAAAGTTTTCTGCAGCTATAAAACAGCAGCCTTGCTAGCAACCCTGTAGTTTCCTATGAAGTGTTCACACACAAGGTTTTTCTTAAACGGCTTCTCTAAAGAACCTAGAATGGTTGTGGAGTTTATATTAAAGAAAGCACCACAAAACCAAAGGGCATTCATATAAGGCTGAGGCCCCATATGATCAAGTGCAGGTGTGTAAAGTTCTCAGGAGAGCCAAGAGTGACTCCCATCTTGCAGCTGCTCAGAGTGTTTTGCAGCATGAGTCAGCTACTGTACATGGACTTTTAAAATAGGAAGATAATTTTGTAAACAATATTTCTAGTCTTGCATGCCGAGGTACTGATAGCAAGCCTATACTTCAGAACCTATGCTGAGCACCTGCTGTTGGCAGGAAACAATTCATCCTCAAATAAAGCATCACACAACCGGCCTTGCCCCCCCCCCGAAACAGCCATTAGGCATTAAGTAAGTAATAGCCAACATGGATTTGTTGAGAACAAATCATGACAAACCAACCTCATTTCCTCCTTTGACTTGGTTACTGGCCTAGTGGATGGGAGGAAAGCAGTACGTGAGATATATCATGATTTTAATAAGGCCCACAGTCCCACATGACACTCTCATAAGTCAATTAGGGAAATGTGGTCTAGATGAAATTACTGTAAAGTGGGTGCACAATGGCTTGAAAGACTACTCAGGGTCGTTATCAATGACTCAGGGTCGTTATCAATGGTTCACTGTCAAACTGGTGGGATGTATATTGTGGGGTCCTGTAGGGATCTGTCTTGGATCTGGTAATATTCAATATTTTCATTAATGATTTGGATAATGGAGTGGAGGGTATGCTTATAAAATGGGTGGATGACCTCACGCTGGGATGGGCTGCAAGCACTTTGGAGGACAGGAATAGAATTCAGGATAGCCTTGACAAATTAGAGAATTGGAACAAAATCAACAGAATTAAATAAAGAATATTACGCTTAGGAAGGAAAAAAAAATCAAATGCATAGATACAAAATGGGAAATAAATGGCTAGGTGGAAGTACTGCTGAAAAGGATCAGAGGGGTATAGTGGATCACAAACTGAATGAGTGAATAGTGTGATGCAGTTGTGAAAAAGACTAATATTCTGTATTCACACGAGTGTTGTATGTACTAGACAGGAGGATATTTCTCCCACTCTGGCACTGGTGAGGCCTCAGCGGGAGTATTGTGTCCAGTTTTGGGCACCACACTGTAAGAAAGATGGGGACAAACTGAAGAGAGTCCAGAGGAGAACAAAAAAAATGCTAAAAGGTTTAGAAAAGCTGACCTAAAAAACTGGCATGTTTAGTTATAAGAAAAGATGACTGAGGGTTGGACTCGACTGCAGCCTTCCAATGTGTTAAGGTCTGTTATAAAGAGGACAATGAGCAATTGTTCTCCATGTCCCCTAAAGATAGGGCAAGAAGTAAAATGGCTTAATTTGCAGCAATGGCGATTTAGATTAGATATTAGAAAAAAATCTTTCTAACTCTAAGGATAGTTAAGCAATCAATAGGCTTCCAAGAGAGGTTGTAGAATCCCCGTCATTGGAGGTTTTTAAGATGAGGATTGGACAAAACACTTTTAAGGGTTGGTATAGGTATACTTGGTCCATCCTCTGTGCAGGGGGCTGGACTAGATGACCTCTTGAGGTCCCTTCCAACCCTACATTTCTAAGGTTCTATTGATAGGGGATACTTGGCTCCTACATAAATCACTTTTTTCCCCCCAGTTGTGAGAGCTTTACAAGAAGTGAGTGCAGATTATTCTCTTCATTTTACTGCCCAGGAAACTCAGGCACAGAGAGGTTACATGACTTGTACAAGGTCATACAACAAACTGATGGAACAGCCAGGAGCACAACTCAGGTCTCCAGACTTCCATTCCATTCCCTAACCCCTGGAGCATACAGCCTCTCTAATTAGCTGGAGCTAAGGACAACAGTCTAGTATTAAAAACTGTAAAATAGAACCATAGAGTTTACTCAAATTTCACAAATAAGAACGATCAGATTTTTTTGGCATTCATTCTCTCCACCTCAAGAGCTGAAGTCACCAAGTTCTTTTCCAACCCAAACAACTCCCCAAGTGTCACACTGCTCAATCATCTGAGGCTCCTTGTTGGCTTCTACCCTCACATATCTTAGCAAATGTATCTGTACGGATACATTTTACGCTTAGAAATAAATGTATATAAAATAGATGTATATAAAATTTTATAAAATCTCATTCCTCCCCTCCGCCCCCCCCAAATATATTTTAGATGAACATTCCATTTACCGCAGTGTCCAAGAATCAAATCTTTGGATAAGCCAGTCCGACTCCAACATTCGTGTGTGTTAAGCTGTAATTATTTGTGACCCAAATCTGCCAGCTTTACTCATGTAAACTGGTACTTATTCACATAGATGGATAGCCCAGCTAAACTCAGAAAGACTATTCACATGAGTTAAGTCCTACTTCATGTAAATAAGGTTGTCAGAATCAGACCCCAAGTGAATATAAAACATTACCTGCTATTCTTTGTATCATATTGTCTCATATTCTTGATGAAGTGCATCTTCTTCAAGCTTTTGTGTCTTGGCGATCCAGATATGTGCTTAGTTCTGCAATTAAAAAGAATTATTCAGTGATCTAAAACAAAGATGTAGGTGTTATGATCAGATGGCGGCACTAGCATGCAGGACCTCAGATATTCAGCTTTGAGGAGGGTGGAGGGAGGAGAGGACTTGCATGCAACGAGTTAAGATTAATGCTGCTTTTGAAAAAGTACCTTCGTACACTGGCACATTCCACTATGTCTTCTAAAAATTCTAGAGAGCAGCGCTGGGAGATAAAACGCCTTCTGTAAAAATGTACAACACCATGAAGAGTGAACAATATTAGTTCATGGCCTTTGAGATCAGAAACTGCAACAGAGATCTACGAAGTCTTAAGATATTGTACTTCTCACAAAAGATAGCTGAAATATTCAAACCTCAGCATCTTCAAACTTCTGAAGAGGCCAAGAACCTTAGAGTTCCCAAAGCAAGCAGTTTATACTGAGTAAAGGGTTTCATCTTTTTAAGAAGTTGGTTCTCTTAACAAAGAGGTCATTTGACTAATCAATCAAAATATATTCTGTAGAACAGAAAAGCCTGCCTGCAAGTTACCACTCTTCAGGAATCTTTGCAATACAAGTTTAAAAGACCCAATGAGAGGTGTGGGAAAATCCCTCACCTGGGGTAGGAGGGGGGAAATAAATCTTATTTCATAGCTTGTGTGCTTTCCTCAATTTGGAAAATTGGACTAGTTACTTTTCCTGTGATACGAGTTTAGACAAACTAAAAAAAGCCTTCTTAAACAACAGTTCTGGATCAATAAAAGCAACAGAAGGACTAAGAAAACTAGAGAAAGGGCTATTAAAGAGGAAGCTTGGGGTACTACATGCCGATGTAAAATCCTAAAATGGAAGACATGGGGGGAAAAAAATCCACAAGAAACTGAGATGGTGTAATGTTAATGGTGAATCACATTAACGTGCGGAAAATGGACCTTGCCCAGAGGAATAGATTCCTATTGTCAAAGGCTTAGATCATTCATTAACCAGTGAAAATGTAAACGTGAAAAAGGATTTTGAAGCTATGTACTCCATAAGAATGATGTGTTGAGACCCAATCGGCACTAAGAAGCCACCTTCAAGTAATAGTACTTCACTGTAACTATTCATATTCTAAATCTTCTCCCTTTGTCTTGGTAGCCATAAACACCCAATGTACTCAGCTATCTGAGTTTTTCTTCTGTTATTCTTGACAGATGTCTGTTAATCCTGTAATATGCACTGTCAGAACTGGACTACTTATATCAACAGAAGCCAGTTCAGAGACTGTACTAGACAAGTAAGAGGGCTTTGGTTTAAAAAAAAAAAAAAAAGTTTTGTAAGATTTTAAAGACCAAGACAATGGAGTTTCTTTAAAATATAAGTAAATATCCCTATATCCCAGGGGAAACAAAATGACAGCAATGTTTACGTTAAGAACTATGAGAAACAGCAACCGTTTTTATTTTATCAAGAATAATTCTGTAATTGGAACTACAGAAGCTAGATATTCTCTTGCATAGCTGGCTCTTATTGACTAAGGATTTTCAGTTAGTCTCCTAGGAATTCCATCAGGCACTTAAAAAATAAGCAGCTACACACATTGGTAAATAAACTGGAAAAGAGACTAAAGGTCAAAATTGAAAGACGAAAAAAAAAATCAGCCTGCTTTATTATTTGGGTGCCTAAACAGATTCATAGATAAGGCCAGAAGGGACTACTGTAGTCATCTAGTCTGACCTCCTGTACAGTAGTCCATAGGACTTGCCCAAATTAAAAACTACAGCATATGTTTTAGAAAGATATCCAATCTTTATTTTAAAATTGCCAGTCAAGGGGATGCCATCACAGCCCTTGGTAAATTGTTCCAATGATTAATTACCCTCACTGTTAAAAATGTGCACTCTATCTTCCATTGAATCTTGTTATACCCCTGTCTGCTAGACTGAAGATCCCATTATCAATTCCCCCTCTGCCCCACAACTAGGTACTTATTGACTGTAATAAAAATCACCTTTAAACCTTCAGTGTGCTAAGTTTAGCTACTTGAATCTATTGCTATAAAGGTCTTTTTCCAATCCTTTAATTGTTCTTGTGGCTCTTCTCTGAAATCTCTCCAATTTCTCAACATCTATCTTGAATTGTGGACACCAGAACTGGACATGGTATTCCAGTAGCTGTCAGACCCAGTGCCAAAGACAGAAGAACCTCCCTACTCATACCTGAGATTCCCATTTATACATCCAAATATGGCTTTAGGCGTCTAACTTTAGGCACTTCACTTTAGAAGTAAAAATGTACTTTTTTAGATAGCTATTATAAAAAGATTAAGATGACAAATGCTTATTTCCTCTTCCCCACCCTTGTAGTTACTTTTCTCAACTTCTCTAAAGATACTGTCAGAGCTGCCTAAAAAAATGTTAGTCCAGTCACACTTTAAAGTAGTAAATAATTATCATGTAAAAGTCGCAACTATACAGTACTTTTCCTGCAAATGCAAGATCTGCAGTTTGCATGGTAAGCAAAGACCCTTTATGAGGATATCTGCACCTCTAAGTTAAATCCTTACCAGTTTTTCCTACTAAACTTAAAGTAAAAAAAGTGTCACTTTTAATAACCGTACAAAGAGAAAGTCTCCAGGAACAGCTCTGCCTACATATTAAGATGCCCTGATAAGGATTTTAAAATTAAAATTAGATGATTTATTTTCTGTAGTAAGAATTCCAATTAGTATTGTGCACTTCACTATAAAATGCATCTATTCAGTTTGTCCAAATTATTAGAAAAATAAATGCCTTCATACATTCCTGAAACCCAGTTAAAAAAAAAAAAAATCATGATTTACCATTCTTGTCTACTTTTTGTAAGTGTGTGTGTCAGGAAACCCATGACAAACTACATTACTGTATGCATTTTTCTCCCTTGGCAGTAAAGGGCATCAAAAGCAACCGTCACAAGCAAATATGATTAACAACTAGTTATGGCTTAAGGGAATATGTAACAACATTCTCCAATACAGAACTTGGCATTTTCACTAGAAAGCAAATCTGACATCTTTAATTTCTCTTACTGGAGTTGTTCAGGTGTTCTCTGGAAAGAGCAAAGCTCAAGCAAGCACTCCGCTGAAAAATTTGAGTCGCTCCTTATATATAAGAATGGAGAGAATGCTCAGTCTTCTCATTTGTGAGTTAATTAATGTTAGAAACTGTCTTTGGTAGTGTTCTATGGAACAGCCAGTCAAATGGCTAGAAACTTGGTACATCCATGGGGAATGGATCACCTATAGTCCCCAATGTCCTCTGCCAAAATTGCAGTTTTAAAACATTTCTTTGCATAGCTCTTTTTCAAGTAGTTTCAATCCTACTCATGGTTATTTTGGAGCCATCACAGCCACAAGCATGGCTACTGCAGTGGTATTTCAGCATGCAACATCATCCAAGATAGACAAGTGTCCACATAAATCAAACAATTCCTGGTGTGCTGAGAAGGCCATTAGTCATGATGCAACATTCTCAGATCTGGAATTCAGCCCCTGACCTACATTTAGGAAACATCACAGGACTCATGTATTAGGGTAGACCAGCAGCAGTTCTCAAACTGTGGGTCAGGACAACAAAGTGGGTTTCGACCCCATTTTAATGGGGTTGCCAGCACTCGTATTAGACTTGCTGGGGCCCGGGGCTGAAACTGAAGCCTGAGCCCCGCCGCCCAGGGACAAAGCCCGAAGGCTTCAGCCTTGGGTGGCAGGGCTCAGGTTACAGGCCCCCCCCCGGGGTTGAAGACCTTGGGCTTTGGCTTTATCCCCCTCCGCCCCCCCACACAGGGCAGGCTCAGGCTTCAGTCCCTCCTTGTGGGGTTGTGTAGTAATTTTTATTGTCAGAAGGGGGTCGCAGTGCAATGGGTTTCCAGAGCTCTCAGTGCTGTGTGTAATTTAAAGACAAAGAAAACTCATCTGTAAGATGTCTTAAAGACAACTACCTACTGTAGCACATTTACAAATATGTTTAAACTGCCTTAAAGACAAATACCACACAGATTTGACAGTTAGGAGCTCAAGCAGTATGTTACTTCATCCAAAATCCTATCTGGGCTAGCATTTTATGCACCAACTACAGCATTCTTAAGAAAAGTAATTCAGTTCAAGCAAATAAAATCTGTGAGCTATATACCAGGGGAAACTGGCTGTTTGCGCCTACCTACTGTAGGTTCCTAAGGAGTAAATTCCCTATTACAATAAAATAAAGTATCCTTGCCAAGAAAGCAGCTAAGGATAGAAAAACCCTTTATGAGTTTATGTAACACAAATACTACCCTTAATTTGACATTGAGTTTCAATTAGTGAGCATCCCCTCCTTTTCTGAACGAGTACAAGACCCGAGAGGGACTTTACCTTATGTTGTTAGGAGAACAGAGGCTGACTGCAGCTGATAAATTGGGTCCTTTGATGCTGGGACCTTTGCTTGGAGTAAAGGCTCCCCAGCTGGGTCTCTGCTCAAAAGAAAGCTCCAGCAAAGGGTTGCAGGAAAATAGAAGATGAAGATGCTCCCACCAAATCCCAGTGTGGAAGGGAAGATGGGGGTCTAGCGGACCAGTACTCTGTCCATGAAAGAGGAAGAGATAGAACAGTGGTAGCCATTCCAAATGCAAGAGTAAGGATTGGGTTAGTCACTGCAGACCATTAGTGCCTCAAATCTACACCCAACTCACCTGAGCAAGGAGGGAAGAGGTCACTGGGGGCGTGAAAAGAAGCTAGTTAAGAACAGATCAAAAAATGGAAACCCAACTCTCATTCTTAAAGTAGTAGGAACACATCTCCTCCCATTCCCTCTCATTTTAAGAATGGGCGTATTTACGTTGAAGATTCATAGTTTGTTCTTTAAGCTGTAGATGTTTGATGACCAAATCATGTTTAAGCTGGTAAATGCAGCTGTCATCTTGACAATTCATGACATTATTTCCTTCCAGATATCCCCACGGGCTTGCATATTACCACCAAGGTATGTGAATTGATTCACCTCCTGTATTCCT